ATTTAGATTTATAACTCAGTGTGGACGAATGTATTTGGACTTATTTCTCAGTGTGGACGTATGTATTTAGATTTACAACTCAGTGTGGACGTATGTATTTGGACTTACTACTCAGTGTTGACGTATGTTTTTGGACTTATAACTCAGTGTGGATGTATGTATTTGGAATTATAACTCAGTGTGGACGTATGTATTTGGACTTTGAATTTCAAATGAAATTGATCTGTTTATTGTTTAAATACAAATATTCATTAGTATTTGTGGTTAGTTTTCAGTTGGGGATGAAATCTTTAAACATGTGCGTCTCATATACTACAAAATTTCAAATAAAAAATGTGTTTGAGAGAAAGATTGTTCCCCCAAAATGTAAGACAACAAGATATGAATCATTACTTGGCATTACAATAGACACTTGACTAATTAAACATCCGAATATATGTTTTGTCCTCAATCATATGCATACAAAAACACTTCAAGACTGATGGCTTTGGAATTAAGTAGATGTCGGCAAATAAACAATTGTATTACCGTAAATAATTTACCTATTTGATTGAAATATATAATTTGATATTAAAGTTAAATCTGTTCATGTATTTCAGCAAAACATCTCAATTTTGTAACCAAATTAGATCATTTTAAAACATTGACAGGAAACCTAAAAATGTAACCTTCGGTATGTGTTGCAATAGAATTCAATACTGACTTAATTAATAAACAGAAATCTATCGTTTGCATTCAGACAGAGTTTATAAAACATAATAGTAAGGTCAACATCTTTGTGTTTGATTCGCTACTTGAACGGATATCAAGAGTAAATTAATGCAATGTAGGTCAGAATAAAAATTCGTTCAACTTTAGCGTTAATTTCAGCAAAGGGTGAAGGGATGTAATTCATTCAATACCTACTGTAAAGGGATCAATAGCACCGCGTTGAATACTAGATAACTTTAAATTAATGTCAGTCCCTGTGTTTCATTGAAAACATAAATCATTCTCAAACAGATTTATAATGTTTTAATATTTGTATTTTTTTTTTACCGAAAATAATTTTGTTTAAGTTCTACTTATGTCTGTTTTCCTTAATTCATCAAACAAATCTGCACGTGTAATTAAAAAAAAAATATTTTGAAATCGGTAAATATCTTCGCTGTAAGCATTTTCGAGTGCAGTTTAATAGATAATGTCCTGAGCTGTATGACATACAATAAAGATTGTATATGACATTAAACTTGAATTTCACTCATTATTGAATCTTTAATGAATTTAGAACAGTTTATGTGACCACTTTTCATCACATAGTTTCGTCATGAGAAGTTGAGAAACAAGGACTATTCGAGACACTGCATTATAAATGAATGGTAAAGACTCCGTAAATTAGAGTGAAAATTAAAGCTCCATTAAAGCTGTTGTAAAACTTTTTAAAAGTCCCAAAGAAATATTCACTGAAATATGTGACATTTACAGAAAGCAATGCTTGTTTTATAGACAAATGAGTAGGTGGATTTCAATGATAAAAAATTATATAATGGGCATCAAAAATGTGTACCGTCCTTGCCAACAAAAAATCATAACAACTTATGTACAGTTTGCCAAATTTCAACAAATAATTTGTCATGATGTATGATTGACTTTAAGACACATGGCACATTTTATAGACATTATATCGGAGTATTTTTCCTATAACCTATATTTTAAAATAAATGAGTGAAAACGACAACGTGTACGAAAATCTTAACAATTATTTTAAAATATCAGTAATCATAGTTATCCACGTTTGATTTATATTCAGATATTGGAACATGAATCTAGATCTATTGCTTAAAATCCTCAAAACAAAGTTTACCATAAGATATACTTGATACAAATGACGAAGGACTGAAAGGGCAAAGGTATGCAAGATCACAAAGACATATTTTTATGCCATTTTCATAAGTATCAGTGGTATTGTTGTTCAAATTCATAATCTGGGAGACAGTTTAATTTCTGGAAGAGTCTAAAAAGCAGTTGATCTGCAAAAAAATCGAAAGGTTTATTAGAGGAAGGACCCAGGATCAGGAATCCCTTACATTGAATTTCTTCATGACAGCGTCCAAACCCGCACGCCTGGAAGAGTAAGGGGGGGTTTCGGGATAAACGGAATGGAAGTTTTTTTCACATTTACAATATTCGCCAGATATTTGACCTTTTGATTTGTTTCTATTTCCAAACTTGAAAAAAAACAACACCTTTCAGAAGAAAGAAACAAGTCCAGGAAATCATTGGATCTGCCATTTTCCAGTATACTAAGGGTCATACCCAAAGATGAGTTCTACAAACAATCAGGAATTGGATAAAAAATGTAACGGACATGTGTTTTAATCAAAAGAGATTAATAAGTAAAATCGTGAAGACTAGATAATTGAAAAGCGGTTTTTGCTTTTCTCTGAGAACTGAAAACATTACTTATCGAACAGCCCTAGCATTATACCTGACATCTGTGTATTTAATGGATGTGACAACCAATTTTCTTTACTAAGATAATAAACCTGCTGAATGAAAGTTTTAATATTCATATGAAGTAGAATGTGTGGAAAATCTATTGTGTGAAATGAAAAAAAAGAAACACTTGCTGTGACCTTCAACTCGACATTTAGATATATAAATGAATTAAACTTTTCTATCGTCTACTTTCCTTACCTATGCAGCAACATACCTTTATAATCTGCATACGGATTGTATATATATATTTCAGCTGATTTGATACACAAGAGGATGCTCTACGTAAAAATTTTATGGTCAATATAATGATATTGACAGCAAATATGATTGATTGATTGTATATTGTTTAACGTCCCTTTCGAGAATTTTTCACTCATATGGAGACGTCGTCAGCAAATACAAACTATCATTGAGACAAATGCTGACTGACGTTTTTGATATCAATTAATAGTCCATTATTTTACACTGAATTGACGACGGATTTTTCTTTTTTTTTCCCAACAAGGAGCACACGGCGGGTGTGACCTGTCAGCAGGAGATGCTCACTCCTCCATGGCATCTGATCCCACCTCTGATATTTTGGATGTCTGTGTTTACTCTGCTCCTATTTTGTATTGTTTTAAGGACTTTGAGATTGAATACTGTTCGTTATCTCCATATCCTTCTTTTCTCTATCTCTCTCATTTTGACGAATTAAACATGGCAGTGTCGACATTTGTGCAGCAATATCGTAAATCCTTGGAATATCCTGCGTCTTTTTATACCTTGCTTCTGTAAAACAAAGTAAGGCATGCCCTTGCGCCGAAGCGATTTTGCTGATGTTTCTTATAAACTTGTGTAGTAGAGCTCGATGACGTCATAATATGACATCATAATGTGTAGTGGCTATTGCATGTCGTGGGTACCAAAAATGTATAAAAAAACAGGTCTTAACATTTTCTGTGCAGTAAGTAGAGCAATTATGAAATTTAATTAGATATTTTGCATAGGAATCTCCATATGTAGCCTTAACTACAGATGATAATATAAATTTCACATTTCTGCTTAATGAAATGGAGGTCCCATTTCACTTTAAAATATAATATCAGTACAATATTATTTATTCTTTATGGTGCATGTACATATATAAAATAAACTTTGCAGTTTAAATTGAATTAAAATGTGAAAAAAAATACATAAAAGGATATTTGATCTGCGCTTATATACAGGCTAATAACATCTTCAACTTGTAATGCAGAATGATGCATTTTACATATTCACAAACCAAAAAAATGGTGAAAAATCTATTAGAATATATGTGAGGATGCAGTTTGCAAAATGCATGAGATCATGTATGAGTCCAGCTTCACCCAGTGAGCCTGTCTGTGCTTGACTTAGTTTAGATTATGTTTTTATGTCTGTGGTATATGTTAGTGTGTTTGCATATGTGTCCAGCTTCACACATTTTCATGTATGTGCTTGACTTCACACGCCTTGGAAAATATGTAATAGGTTGTGGCAGATGCATGTGTATTTGTGTATGTGTCCAGCTTCACACATTTTCATGTATGTGTTCGACTTCACACACCTTGGAAAATATGTAATAGGTTATGGTAGATGCATGTTTGCATGTATCCAGATATACGCATTTTCATGTGTGTGCTCGATTTACATGTCATCAATGTAAAATATGTAAACATGGTGGTGTAAAACGTTTACAAGTGTATGATGCACACAGAGAAAAAAAGTCCTGTGTGTTTTGTTCTGCAAGAGTGATCGTATAAAGAAACTACAATTATGTCCTGTTGAGAAATTGACAATCATAATAAGTAACATATTCATTTTAAATAACTGTACTGAAAATTACACATCCAGTTTAAATTACTGTACCGAAAATTAAATTTCTGGAAAATCTCTCTGGCTGAATAACATTCAAAATCATGAATGCTTGCATGTTCATCTATAAATCTCCAAGATATTTCCTAGTTAGTTTGTAGCGCCGCACCGAGCGGTCTTACAACACATTTCATAATGTCAGTTTGCATGAATAAATTGATTTATCCTTGTTCCTCAGATCTTGAAAATAGATGCCGAAATTCCAGTCTACAGTTTACTTACACAGCACATCATAAATAGAAACATTCAGGAAAAATAATTCACAAAAAAATAAAATCCAAGTAAAACAATCACATGTACATATAAATCCAAGAAATATTAGGTAATAGTCCAAGTAAGTGAGTAACTTTATCTATCTCTAACAGTTCTATCTACTAAGTCTTCTATATTTTCATTTTCTATCTTATTCTAAAATTCTGTCGCACTATATATATATACTCAAGATCCGTTCCTGACTATCAGGAGCACATTACAAGATCCTTAAGATCAGAAGTCAATACACAGGTCATTACAATCAGCAGGGGCGATTAATATACAGATAAGATTTATAGCATAAGTGTAGATGATAATGTGTGAACAATTAAGTAATAAAGAGTAATTTATAGATAAGACATTTTAAATCTTTACAAATTTACATATTCTTGATCATATCATTGATAAGAGTATATATTCTTGATCATGACATCTGTATTGGATTCCCCTCTCTGACATCTTTTCTTGTTCACCAATTAGTTCAACAGTCATCTAGGTACTCAGGTGTTGTACAAGTCCTAATGATAATCATTTTCAAAATTATAAAGAAAAACAATACAATTCTTAAAGAGGTTTTCATTACTTCTATTGATGTTAAAGCACAAGCTTTTGAAGACAAGTAAGTAACTTAAAACATGTATAACTAAACATAATGGAAATTTAGACAATGCGACTCAATGTCAAACATATGATAGTGATACATCTGTAATATCCATGAAACTTACTGAGATACTTAAAGTGTATGTGGCGTGCTTTCACTAAGCTAAGCAATATATAAACATTTCTTGATTACATGTTGAAGTCTAAGGCTTAAAAAAAATAAGTTTGTTTTTGTAACATTCCAAAAAAATCAAGGGTCGGTAGGTAGGAATTTTTTTTTTGCTTATGAATGATGAAACATCCCCAGACTGAAAATACCAGATGTTATATTTACAGTGGACACCCAACATGGCATCCAAAATGGCTGTCTAGCGGCAGAAAACAAACTTCAGATAGTTGTAGGGGGAAACTGTTGTTACAATAATGATTACTTTTTATATTTAAGGTAAATGTAAACTAGGTTGACATATTTTATGTCTCAAATTTAGCTACAAGCTATTGTTTTAATTTAATAAATGGAATCAGCTGATTGATCAAACAAAGTTTTGCCATTTGTCAGGGGAAAAAAATCCACCCAGGGATAATTTGAACGGGTCGGTCGGGTTACAGGAAACAAACACAATCTTTTTTTAGGCCCAATCCTCACCTGACTTGCACATTCATATGGAATGGTTCTATGCTGATAATCCCTTTCAACAATCTTCATCACAACATCTGAAAGTCACCCATCTTCAAAATTAAATCTGCCGCTCACCTCAAATATATATAGACTCCCTGTACAAATGCATGGAAAATAAATTTTTGAATAAAAAATGAATTATCTCTTCATCATACCCGGACTCTTCAAAAAATGTGAGAAAATAATTTAAATACTTTTCTTTAGATAAAATCATGTAGTGAGTATCCAGCAATGGTGAAAAAAAAATTTATCTCTAGAATTTTACATTTATATTGAATGAAAAATGCATTGTTCCCTCTACTTAAAAAAACTCAAAAGACATTACCTTACCTGCAGGTCTGTAACTCTCCGAAAAAAAATTATTGATAGACCGGAGAGCTACAGAGCCACCTATTGAAAAAAACTGTATATTTATTGCGCACAAAAAAAATGCGCTCGGTTCTCGATTTATTTCTCCATGTTTTTAAAGCTGTAATCTCAAAATATTACTAACCGTGTGTTCCTAACATATTCTTTGACTCTTTCAAAAACAAAAGATTCCTCATAATCGTTGTTAATAGTCCTCTTGGCCCTGATATTGCAGGCATCGGACATTTCGCTTATTTATACTGCCATTTTGGTTTCAAAGATAATTCGGTCCAATATGCTTCGTTCAGATGTCAACTACGAGAGAACTTGATACAGGAGAAAGTAATTTTTTGAAATCTTCTATTTTTTGCAATTGAGGTAAGAATTTGGAAAAAATTAATCAAGAATCGAGCGCACTTTTTTGTGCGCAATAAATATACAGTTTTTTCAATGGTTGGCACCGTAGCTCTCCGGTCTATCAATAATTTTTTTCGGAGAGCTACAGATCTGCAGCTAACATTACCTAAAATGGAAATAAGGTACACCTGTGACTGGTGACTTAGGCACAACCAATAAACACAAGACCTTTCCATCCTTAGCAGCATGCATTAGCTCCACATTCCTTTTTTCTTCAAAAAATATGCAATAAAAATTAAAAAAAAAATGAGAGCGAAGAGTGTTACATGTACTTGGGGGAACAGAGGAAGGAATTTTGAAGTCAGATTATAATTATATTTCTGCCAGTGTTGGGACGGATAAATTTCCATTATAAAATGAAACGAATTATTCGCAACAAATAAGACACATGTATTACCTTGCAGTCACCGTCGCACAGAATGTATACATACAACTGACAACATCCCAAATCCCTTTCTTTGTTGTTTACTTGGCGGAATTTTCTTTGCCTTTTAGACTGGTTCCCATACATTGCCGTGAATAAGTCCTACGTTTATTGGTTTTGTTTGCAAGCTTCAATATCAGTAAAATCTCCCACACATTTACAGTCTGTATTGTAAACTACTAAAACATACTTTACATACAATTTTCAGCTCAGTATTATGTTATCCTCTTCATTCAAGTAATATGTAAACTCTTCTCGAATTTAAAACGAACGATCTACTCTGATAAGTAACCCAAATATGGCACTGTGTATTCGGTTGAATAGCCAATCATTTCAAATCAAGTGGAGCGGGTCTGCATCGCTATTTTGACGAAGTTTGCAACCTGTGGTAATTTTTTGAAACCTCATCTACATTTAAGGAGATTCTTGTCTTGACAGCATAGATCAGTACATTGTGCATATATGTAGTGAAACAATGAAAGTCAGGCAAAACTTCGCTGTATATGTTATTTACTGCCAAAATGTTAGATTAGTATTTTGATAATTTGGGGATTAAATGTATATGGGTTTTAGTTTATTCTGTAAAGGTGTATGTCTCTGGAATATTAAACAAGACAAAGAAAAACAGTTCTGGAGTGGGACTAAAATGGGTACTTAAAACTGAGCCGGGCCGGGAATTTGAAACTGAAACCGGGTTTTTGCTAATTACTGAGAATATTCACAATCGGTTGTCATAAAACTAAGTTACAGATGTATTTATGCCTTGGCGGAGAGTTTCAACTCCGAAATTGACAAATAAGTTTATTTTATTTATAACATTTTGTATTTTAACTGTGTCCATTTTGTTAAAATACAGGTTGAGTGAAATTAGTATGCAGATTGTTGAAGGGAAAACATCAAGACGGGGCAAGGAAGATGACAAAACATGATTGAGGATCCCAAAGTTCTTTGGTACAAGCACATTTTTAAAAAATCAATAAGTATCGTGAAATGTTACTTGAACAAACATTTACATTATTTAGTGCTTGACTTGCTCGGGAGTCATTATTGTCAAATGTATTCATATAAAATGTTCAGTTTCTTTTGTATAGGCTCAAGCTACTCAGCCTACCATGAGAAAATTAAAAGATCTGCCATGAAGAAGAGGCGGGTTCTCAAGTTTCATATTATAGATGGCAAGTATTGTTTAGATTTAATTTTAAAGTATTCTTGATAAAGAAAGGGTGTTTGGCAGTTCATAGCTATTAACTGTGATTGCATCGTGTATGAATTTTCAAAATCAATTCATTCTTTGGTGACCGTGTGCTTCACACTCATAATTTTTAATAAAAAGATTGACTATATATTTTTCCAGGTGTATGAAATGTTAATCACTGTATGAATTCTATTTCAGCATGATTGTCATCTTCAATTTGAGGGACTCTCACCAAAAGTCCTTTTACTGTTCCATATCGGGAAAAAGTTCATGAGCAGAAACATGCTATTTGGGAAAAAGGTACTTATATCCTAAACCATAACTTGAGTATGATTCTGTACACATGTACAGCTAAGCTAAATATGTAGCACTATTTTGTTCTTTTTGTAAACAGACTACTGAGTAGTCAGGAAAACCTATCATTTCTTTATGTTTCAGGGATTTATTCTTTGATGGTGATAAGTACCCTTAAAAAGTACATAATTCTCAAATTGTAATTTTAGGCATTAGGCTTTTTGTGATAAGGGATACATGACCTAACCCATTGATTCTTCATATAATATGTCAATAATAAGAGGTCCACTCATCTTATTAAATTAATACAATTTTTATTTTTAAGGTTAAAGGTCATGTATAAACTTTCTATTTATTAATTAGGTTGTGCATTGTTTTTAGTTTTATTAATCATGATATTGTGAATTCTGATAACAGATGCCTTTGAAAATATTCATACTTATGCATAGCACTGAAAACATACTTATATATTTTTTTTTCTTTCAGGAAAAGCATTAGAAGAATGCCTGCATGGGAAGAAAAGTTTTGGACTCTGAAAAGGAAGATGTGACAAATACATTTTGACAGTTATTGATTTCCACTGAAACCAATATCCACAAGATAGAGGAACATATAGTAGTTTTATGTTGATTCACAACTTTAAATTCAAGAATTTACAGTTGGTTTTATTATAAAACATGTCACGTACGAAAAACATTTTCGTGAAATGTACTCTGTCTTCGATACTTATTTATGTGTATGTGATTTGCAGGATAGGATGTGGGCAACATATACTGTCAAGAATTTTGATGTTTTTGATCTTATGTTTGTAAAAAAAAAATGTAATAAACAAAGTTAAAGTTAACTTTTTGTTACTTTGTATATATTAATTATGATGTCCAGACTTCCGCAGTATCGACTTGGAAGAAAAATCTTATTTATAAATTGCATAAGGCTTTATTCACTAGAATGGAAAACAGAAATTATTAACTTTTATGGTAATTTAAGATGGTATTTAATTAAATTTAAGATCTGTAATTATCGGATTTAATATATCCTAAATATGGTGTTTAATGGTTGTAAATATTAACTTTACTCTTTTGTAAAGTCAAGACAATGTGGGACATTACATCATATTTAAGTATATGTAAAGTTAATGTAAAGGTGACCTTTTCCAACTTTGACTTTTTTCAGAAAAGCCAATTAAAGGCATTGTAAATAATAAATTTACATTATCTTTACTTGTTTTGTAAAGCCGAATTTTCATGCGGTGTTATTTCCAAAATTATATATAAGTATTCACAGAAAGGATAACGTTCTGTCCATTCGATATCTGTCATTTTTTCTTATTCTGGTTTGTGTTGTATTTTAATCACACAGGCAGTCAATATTGTGCTAAATGTAATCAAGTAGTGTAACTTGGCTTTCAAAGAATACAAAATGTATTGATAGAACAAGAAAATTGAAAAAAAAACTATCAAAACTATCAATGCAGTGACGACTTTTATCATTCAGCCAATACAAGAATTACATGACAATTCCTTAAGACACTGTGTAAGATGTTGGCTGATGCACGACTGTCAAAGGGCCAATGCAGGTGTTGCACACTTTTCTCTCCCTGTAAGCAAAGCAGGCATATTGCCAGACACAGAGACACAGAGACCAAAAGAGGGCTAGGAAGTTTTCCATTCTGTTGGAATTTCGTAAAATATTTTCTGAGATTTTTATTTATAAGATGCATAATGCTCTATGGTTTATTAAACAAAATGTTTTGTATCTATGACAATATGTTGTATAAAGAGTTTATTTATCCATGTTATCATTTAATAATATTTTTTTGGTATGAGTTTAGAATACTAGTGGGATATTTAAATTTATCTAAATTATTTTAATTTTTGATTGGACTTCTGGCAACAACAACAACAAAATAAAGACTTCTTTTACCATTGTGAAAATAATTAAATCGATTAACAAATGAAGTTTTTTATGACATCTAAAGTAGATCAAAACAAAGGTTAGGGTTTTATTCACTTATTTCCAAAATCATATTATATGCCAGGTAAGTAGTCACCTAAGCAATAACATGGTGTCGTTTCAATTGCTCGCAATTATTTTTCTCATTCTGATTTGTGTTTTTTTTATTACATATGCAAAAGAAAGTGTGCTAAATATAAAAGTAAATATAATTTTAGTAAAATATATATATTAAAAATATTTATTTAAGCCGAGGAAAGTGAATAAACATGAAAAGCTTTGACGATTTTTTTATTGAGCAAATGCAAGAATGTCAAAACAATTTGTTAATACAGGTTTGTAGTTTGTTGGCCAATGCAGGTATTGCACAACTAGAGAAGGGCCAATGCTGGTATTGGAAATCTGTTCTCTCCTTTTGGCTAATGCGGACATGTCGGGCTCTATAAAAGTCTAATGCAGGTTGCACGACTATCAAATGAGCTATTGCCCATTAGCATTTTAAAATGCTAAAATGAATTATCGATGTGGTCGATCTGATTCTTTTCACCAATTTAATCGTTGGAATTCTAGATAACTCTAAAAGAGTTCATATTACAACGGGGTCAATTTTTTATGGGATCTACAAATAAAATAATTACCACTGGTGTTCTTTTTACTACAAAAGATGATTTTTTTTTCTACGGGTGGGGGTCATTATTTTATTAATGTAATGTTACGTTTGAAAATGTTCGTCTTCTTAATTAAAGTATAAATAATGATATGAAGAAATTTATTTGTTTACATTGATTGTTTTGTCAGAAGTTTAATTAGTGATGTATTAAACATACATACATAGAATTTTATGCAGTTTTTTTTTTTTTTTTTGCTGGCCAACACAAAGACTAAATGAATCAATTTTTTTTATTAAGGAATTCATTTCCTAAAAAGATCTATATGTATATGATGTACAAACAAAAACAGTAACAATTTTGATATTCTGTAGTCAAGCACAAAAAATAATGATTGTTTTAAAACCTAGCTTTTATTTAGCATTTTAATCTTAAACAGTGGCCATAAGAGGGTGAATAATTGTGATGTCTTACCAAATTTTCTCAATTCTGTCGGAATTCCGTAAAATTTGAGTTTTCATTTCGAAAAAATCTGACATTTTTACAGATAAAATGCATATGATATAAATGTATGATAAACGTGTGATATATGCATATAAATTTGGCAGATAGGCAATCTTGTGCACTTTGTTTTCCTAAATAAAATTCGCAAAAAATAAAAAAAGGAAATTTACACGTTTGCAGATTTTTCTGAGCCCACTGTGTATTAAGTAAATGAAAACCAATACTACTTTTGTAAATAAGGAATGACAACAGGTTTTAATTGATAAATTGTTGCATTATTATAAAAGACGATCCAAAAATAGTGGACGTAATGGGGTCTTAGCTTATTTTATCTTTTGCCAGTATCGCTTGTTGAACGTTGTTGCTTTTTCATCAATGTTGCCAAAATTAATTTCTTCTTTTTATTGAAACTTCTGCTTTCAGAGCATCTCTAAAAATCTCTAGCATGTTATTTTTTAAAAGTAAATCCCAACAGAATTTTCAAGAAAGTTCTTAACACAGAACACCGAAAAGCTGTAGGGTAGCTAATGGTGTTAGAGAGATCCGCCCTCAGAAGTAGAGATAAGAAAATAATTACAATAAATTACACAATGAATAATAGAATAAATATGCTAGGGTTATGTAGGTCGGATAATAAGTAAATAAATTTAATATTTCCAGTAACTCTCAAATAAAGAAAACATTAGTGTCTTTATTTAAGCAAAGTGAATTATTATTAATTTTTTTTATGAATAAAGGAATGTAAATCTAAGTTGAAAATGAATAAATTTTTCTCAATATGCGAAAAATTATACGATGTAATTTTCTCCAAGTCCAAAAAACTTTGTGCCTGTGTTTAGAGCTTCCTTGC